AATATATAGATTGGAGGACAATCATTCTTTTTTTAAAGGTTATTAAACCTATTAAAGCTTTTACTCAGACATACAGGGCTTGAGCCCCAGAAAACCTCAGTTATTATAAAAACTATACCAATTTACAACTGCTAATGATCTGACACAGTTTACTCGTAAGCAGGTTCATAGTCTCAAGTTTATATTTCTTGGGAAAGTTCTCCATGGTTTCAAGTATCAGAGGGGTAGCCGTGTTAGTCTTTGCCCATGAAAGCTTATGCTCCTACACTTCAGTTAGTCTATAAGGTGCCACAGGACTCCTCGTCGCTTCTCCATGGTTGTACATCTCTGCATATTTAGATATCCACCCCAAGGAAAGAATTCTAAATATTTCAGCCCCCAGTTCAAAACTTCCTTCCTAACTGCACAGATTTTAAGGCCAGAAGAGACCATAATGGTTATGAAGTCTGACTTCCTGCAGAACACAGACCATACAATTTCACCCAGCAATTCCCGAATCAAAGCCACAACTTCTGGTTGGGCTACTGCAGCATATCTTGCGGAAAGATAGCTATTGCCTTTTGAACATTTCAAGTGCTGAAGAATAATTTTTACTTCTACCATCAGTGCTTCTCTAGGATTCAAATCCACACAGCTAAAAGCAACATACCTTCTGTTAAGTTAGGCAACTCTTCATAGACTCACTCCTGCTGCATCATAAACTTTGCTTCTATGTACCTTTCCCAGGCCCCTCTCTTTATCCAGTTTGACCCCCCTTCTTCCTTTCCAGCTCTGATCCATTTTACCACTATTAGTCCTAGAGAATTCTCTGCAGTTCCTGCTGTCTCTCTAGTTGGTCAACCATTTCTATCATTTCAGTGTCTGTCAGGGTTTTTGTGACATCTGGAATCTTGATCAACAATTACCTACTCTTCCGCTCCATTATCCTACAGTTTAGCGAATACTGCATGCAGATGTGGTTGCCTCATCTCAAAAAAAGATACCCTGGCATTGGAAAAAATGCAGAAAAGGGCAACAAAAATTATTAGGGGTATGGAACAACTGCCATGTGAGGAGAGATGAATAAGACTGGGACTTTTCAGCTTGGAAAAGAGATGACTAAGAAGAGTATGATAGAGGTCACAACTATAAAATCACAACTGGTGAGGAGAAAATAAATAAGGAAAAGTTATTTGCTTGTTCCCATCACATAAGTACTTACCAATTGAAATCAATATGAAGCAGGTTTAAAACAAACAAAGTAAAATATTTCTTCACACAATGTACTGCCAACCTGTGTAACTCCTTGCCAGGGGGTGTTGTGAAGACCAGGACGTTAACAGAGTTCAAAACAAAGCTATAAATTCATGGAGGATAGGTCCATCAAAGATATTAACTAGGATGGGCAAGTATGGTGTCCCAAGCCTCTGTTTGCCAGAAGCTGGGAATGGGCAACAGCAGATGGATCACTTGATTACCTGTTCTGTTCACTCCCTCTGGGGCACTGGCCTTGGTCACTATCAGAAGACAAAATATTGGGCTAGTATGGCTGTTCTTATGTGATGGACCTTGAATGTAAAGACAAGTACAGTACAAGCTTTGTTATCTGGCATTCTTGGGGAATGAGGGTTGCTGGTTAATCAAATGTGCTGATTACTGAAGTGTTTTCAACAAAGGCAAAAATGTTTAAGAAATGAAATAATCTTACTTAACACTGCACCTTTTAACACTATTGCTGTATACAGTACCTCAATTTACTGCTCCTCTACTGCCTCAGGGTCATCAATATCAATAACTTCTGTTGTCAATGATGACGGTGCTGAACCAGTGACACAAGGTGCAGAAGCTTTTTGAAGCATCTAGCGAGGTCTGCCTGCCTGAAAGTCAGTTGCTTTTTCTTGAGGAAACTGCTGTGGATAACGTGCAGCTGCATGACTTCCTAAGCAGAATAAGACGACTGCTGCTCGACAAACTTCTCCAAAGTTTCCAGACACTGTGCAGCAGTAGCCCAAGAGGCTTTGGTTTCTTCACTATGGTCTTCTTCCTCTGAACCTATTTCATCTGCAGTACAGATACTTCTCTCTGGATGGACAACCATTTCTATAATTTTCAATGTCTGTCAGGGTTTTTGTAACATCTAGATCTTGATCAACATCTACCCACTCTTTAACTTTGTTATCTTCCAGTTCAGTGATTGGGTTTGTGGGGTCACCATTTTAGAGGACATCAAGTATCTCTCTGTAGCACTCTCCTTTTCGGTCTTACATTGAAGCCTAGAAATTCATCTTCATCAGAGGACCCCTCCACAATATCACTTGTGCCCACAATTTCTCCATGCTCTCTTTAAAGTTGTAGGCTTGACAGCCGACCACACACGTGCCGCAGTAAAGACTGCAGCCTTGATGTTGTACCATGACTGAAACTCTTGGACTGTTCCTTCAGAGTTGAGCAACTTCCCCATAAAATCCCTTCTGCAACTGACTTTTAGGTTTTGAATAATTCCTTGATCCATTGGCTGAATAAGTGAGATGACATCTGCAGGCAGGAAGACAGTAAAAATATTGCCAGACATAAGCTCTGCTTCAGAAGAGTGAGCTTGACAGTTGTCTAAAACCAGAATAACCTTTGTGTCTTCTGGCACTCCAAATTCTTTCGGATGCTCTTTTACAGCAGGAACAAAGATATGGTGGAACCAATACAAAAATATTTCCTTGTCCATCCATGCATAAGGCTGTGTCTTGTACCCCACTGGCAGATGGACAGTATCCTTGAATATTCTTGGCCATTTGAATTTCGAAACCACTAGCAACTTGATTTTGTGTGTGCCAGCAGCATTTGAACATGTAAGCAGAATGATGCAATTTTGTTCCTCTTGCATCCAGGTGCACCAACCTCATCTGTACCAGCAAGGGTAGATGATGGCAGGCAATGCCAAGAATCCTGTTTCCTCAGCACTGTGGATGTTCTCTGGGGTTATGCCATGTTCCCCAATCAACATCTGAAAAAATAAACAATATCTTTCTGCAGCCTCATGCATCAGCAGACTGTTTCTCTCCAGAAATATCAGGCCTTCTGATATCATGTCACATCTAAAAACATTCCATCCAACCATCAGAAAAAACACAGGTCTCAGTCATTTTCATCTGTTGATAAAAGTATTTGGCCTTTTCGATCAACATTGGGCCAGAAATGGGAGCTTCCTCAGAACTCTTCAAGGAAAAGCATTTGTAGAGCATGTAGTTTAACTGCTCCAATTTTGATTTGTGCAAAGTACAGCATTTCTCAATTGCTTTGCTCATCTCAGCACTGGACACAAATTTCATCAGATCTGCCTTCTGAACCTTAATATCTTAGATTGTCAATGAGAACGCCAAACTCATGCGTCACTTGGTTCTATTGTCTCCTTTCTCAAGATGCCTAATTAGGCCCAATTTCTGGCTACTGTCAGCATAACCCGTTTTCTTTTCTGTCCTTTGCCTGTTGATGGTATATTGCTAGCCATAACTGCAGCATGGGCCAGATGATATCCGTTGATGGTACTGTATCATACTCAGAAGCACAACAAGAACAGCCTTTACTGCTGCAAGTTTACAAACACAACTTCTACAAGAGCTGGAAAATTATGCCAGATGGCTATCAGATTTTTTCTGGTTAACTGAAGGAGGAATTGTATTGCAGACTATGACAGATGCTGGTTAGCCAAGTTTTCTGGATATTAAAGTGCCAGATAACAAGACTTGTACTTTATAAGGACCCAGTTCTTCATTGCTGATTGAAGCTAAACTGCAGCTGCTATATATCATCAGCAACACACACACAAAATGAACTGTGAAATAGCAAGTGAAAAATCATTACATTACAGTGTATACACTTAGTACTATGTATAGGTCTTCAAATTTATGGCTGCATCACTTAATAGCTGCAGAACATTAGCCCCCGGTTAGAGTAACTTTTGGGCTGTAAAAGAATGGACATCGTTTCTCTCTCTGCCATAGTAAATTACATTGGTCACTCCTTTAGCCTATTTTAAGGGCAGTGTGTTTCAGGATATAGAATATCTTCATTTGGGGTCAGAAGACTTGAGTTTTATTCCCATTTTCTCACAGACTGCTGGTCCTGGTAACTTGGACAAGCCCGATCTTTTCTAGGTACTAGAGGAGGGGTGAACCAATAGCAGCCCACCAGCCGAATCCAGTTTGCCAGAGCTAGCTCCTAGCAGGCCCCCACTGCTATATTTACCTGCACAGCAGGTTCCGGCAACTGCAGCTTCCATTGGCCGCAGATCTCCATTCCTGGCCAATGGGAGCTGTGGGAAGCAGTTTCCCCGGTCTGCACCGCCTCCCACTGCTCCTGTTGTCCAGGAATGGTGAGTCACAGCCAATGGGAGCTGCAATCATCAGTACTTGCAGCCATGCCGGTAAATAAAATGGTGGCAGCCCACCAGGAGCGAACCCTGGTGAACTGCCACTGTGTTATTGCCCACGCTATCCTAGAGTTTTGTCATTTGCAAAGTGGGAAGAACATTGTCTACACATCATCGTAAAACAGTTTGAGAGCTTGGGAAGAAAAATGCTGCATAAATGCTAAGAATTATTACTTTAGCTTCTGATTCAGGAACGCATTTTAGTCTATGCTTAAGTCCCATTGAATCTTTATGCTTGAAGTGAGGCATGCACTGAAGTGCCCTTTCTGGTATGTTGGTAGGTATGTTGTCCTGAGTCCTGCAAGTAAGCTTTATTCAATTTACAAATGTATTGACAAAAGGACAGCTAAGGTAAGAAAAATGGTAGATTAGCAATTACTCTGTGTACCGAACTGCCACTGTGTGGGTTTTATTCGAATGAAAGGGATGTGTTGTGGTAAACACAACATTTTGATTAGATGCCCGCAAAAAAATTGAGGTGCTCTTCAAAGATCCGTGGGACGATCTGGAGCTGGAAGCAGCTGAATGTTGTCATCAGAAAATCAGACTCTGCTCTCAGAGCCAAAGCTCTTCCCCCAGGCTTCCCCCTCCCATATTTGTATATAGTCAGAGGAGAGAGAGTCAGGCTTAGTTTGTTCATAAACTCCAGTTCCTGGGCGGACCCCACACACAGCTGGATTTGAAACAGCTGGATCCGCCTTCCCTGCACGTTCAGCCAGGAGCCTCACAAGCCTGGGAGATTTGGTTTGGGGAGCAAAATAATCAGAGACTGCCTGAACTGGTGGAGGATGAATTGATCAACACTGTGAGGCTGGTTTTCCAGTTGCTGGCAGAATCCAGAGAATGGGTTACTGGAAGAGGCTGGGTCTGATTTCTCTACTGTTGCTGTCCTTCCGTAAGTAGAAAAAAAGTTTCTAGTAAGCAATGCTAAGCAGTATATTCTTAAACGTTCATTTGTGTTTCCTTCCTCTTTCCAGCAGATAGATAATCATTGATTTCTACCTTAATGGCCATTAGCTCAAAGGTTTGAAATAGAGTAGCGTACCAAAATCTGAGCTAACAGAAACACTGGCTTGGAAAGCAGCTGTATATTTCTCTTCTAACAAATGGTAAACATTTGACTTGGCTGTAAGTTTCTGCATGCATTCTCGGAACTGCTCAGAAATGTCAGTGTTTACAGTACAGAAATATATATAGGCCAGTGTTACTGGTCGGAAGGTTTTATTTTATTAGAATAGAATAAAAACAACCCAGGCAAACTGCTGAATGGTTTAACTTCAGCAGTGTCCAGAGGCTGAGATGTTTGCAGTGTAGAATATTTTTTTTTATCAGCTTCAGTTTTGTGTGTAGGATTAATCAAACTATTAAAAACAGGGGGTGGGGAGTTTCTGCAGCAACATCTGGCTATTCAGCAAACTATTCCAATGCTTGCGGAAAGATTTCTTGGTAATAAATACTCTGTCTGAGAGTTTCTGTTACACTCTTAATACTGCAGATAAACTTCCTAAACCAGGATTTGAAAATGTACCTCTCTGTGTTCTCAATTCCATTGTTTAAATCTTAATGATGGCTTTATGATAAGGAATAGAGTTGGACATAAATGGATGTTCTATACACATCCAGTAAGTATGTATGCATGTCCCTCTGTATATACAGCACCTATATATATATATGTCTCTATATAGTGTATATTTACGTATTTGCAGAGACACTAGAACTTTCTTATGGTGAAATCTTAAAAACAGAATAGTTTTACTCAATGTGTAAGTTTCACTGTTACTGGAATTGCTCTTTCCTCAATACAGTGAGACACTGGGATTCACATTTCACTTTGTTCACATTCAAGAAAACTGGATGTGGGACTCTATTTCTAAATTCCCTTTTTGTGGGTCCCCATGTCTATAGAAAAGGGAATGAAAAAACCTAGATCAATAGACAGACAAACTTGTGCATTCAACTATGACGTCATTGCAACTAATAAATCCTAGAGAGACAAGCCAGGGAATTGAGTCTATATTGTTGAAGTAAAATTTTCAGTGTTGCACAAAATATTACTTGTGATACTAACAATAATTGGACAGATAAAACCTTAAACTATTTCTATGAACACATTGGGGACAGGATGACACATTGGAAAATGACTGCTAAAATAAATCAAATTCTTAGCTGAACTAACTGAAGTATTACAAGGTATTATTTTAATCAGTGTATTGGATTATTTGTGGTAAGAAAGGAAACCACTAATTATACTTGAGCAATGCCCAATTTTAAAGTTATTCAATTCATTTTCCTCTTTAAAAAAGCAAATTTTTTATCTGAAAGGAGTCAAACCAAAGTATATTGACATTACTAAATTAATCTGAAAGGTTAAGTGGCTGATATGTCAACAAAGTGAATGTTATTCAATTAATTTTGAGTGTTTAAATTTATAGTTCTCAGCAAAGAAAAAGCCAGAATCTCTGTTATTGGGATTTAATTCAACAATACTATTTTTGCATTCTATGATGCATACAGTTATAATCAGCTGCACATTAAGGCTAAGATTTTCAAAGGGGTTTTAAGAAAACTAGTGCCCAAATCCCATTGTTATTAATCAGAACTGGGCACCTAACACCCTTTGGGTCCTTTGAAATTCCCAACCCAAATTACCAAAAAATGTATTTGATTTAAAATATGCATTTGATCACTCCTAAAGTGACAAATTCCAAAACCCACATTGATTAATTGTAAAAGGGCATCTGGATTAACTGTTTAATGACAACTGGAAAGTAACTCCTCAGCATAAATGACACACTTAAAGAAAGAAAATGGGGATTGGATTCCATATCAGTTACACCAGAGTAATCTCATGAATTTCAGTCTTTATTATCACAAAATAATAGAAATGTGGGGTTGGGAGGGACATCAAGAGGTTGTGTAGTCCACGTTAGAGACATTATTGTGGATTTACACCGGTATTGCTGAGAACCATGTTTAGTGCATTATCAGCTTCTAACTGTCCTTTTCATATCTCTTTCAATCAATCACATGGCTGAATGGTCACTCAGCTTAATTGAATATTTTCATCTGTATATGCTGAAAGCAAGGACTATAGTTTGAGATAGTTAAAAATTTAATAGAGGGTTTCCATAATTCTCACTAGTAAGTTATACAGTACAAAGATGCACAAGATTCTTCTAAAATAAATTATCTTTAACATCATTTTTTTCCCTTCTTGTGGCTGCTTTTGAGGAGTAGTTTGTTTTTTTTTAAAAAAACTGAATGTGAAGACAGGAAACTTCTCAGTGGCATGCCAGCAAAATTTTATACTAGACTACATTGTTCTGGAAACCTAGGGATCCTTTGCACATGGAGTTCGGGGTTGTGTCCAGTTCTGGAATCCAGATTTTTAAAGGAACATAGGCAGAATAAAAAGGGCTCAGAAGAGAGCTACCAAGAATGATTCAACATCTGAAGAACCTGCCGTACAGCAAGAAACTAAAGAAGCTACATCTATTTAGTTTATTGAAGTTCAGAGACAATTAAGAGATGACTTAGTTTGTAATGGAGAAAAAACTTCTAATAGTAGAAGACTTTAACCCAGCTGAAAACCATAATGAGATCCACTTGCTAGAAACTGAAACTAAACACATTCAAAGAGAAATAAAGGGCAGATTTTGTAATGTGAGGGTATTACCCATTGGAATAATTTACCTAAGGATGCGGTGGATTCTCTTGATTATTTAAATTAAGATTGGATTTCTTTCTACAACATATGCTGTAGCTCAACCAAAAGTTATGGGGTAGATGGAGAAATGACTGGATGAAATTCTAATACATATTGTTATACAGGAAGTCAGAATAGTTTATCATAATGGTTCCTTCTGGTCTTAAAAATCTATTAACATGTTATTGGAAATATATAACTAGTGTAGTGACTTCTGCCTGCATTTGCAATTGGGCATCTGAGCAGCCCACAAAGGAATCAAGCTCAAGAAGTCCAGTAGGAGATGCGTGCCTCACCAAGAGAAAGCCAAGCTGAGCTCATACGTATTCTTGGATCTCACCGATGGCAAACTAAGCCCAAGGATTCCAGTGAGTGTGCATGATCATACTTGAAATTTCTGTACAAACGTTATGAGATTGATGAAGAATGTTGTCTAATGTGGCCAGGGTTCATTTTGTCTCTGGAACTTAGAAAAGTATCACGCTGCCTTCTCCTCTGATTCAACTTGAGGGTATATTTTGGATGCTTTTATTATGAACACCACCCAGCTTACTTCACAATTGTGTCACAAAGACTCCAGAAGCAGTGTATTTCTAATACTGAGTCAGCTCAGGCTATTAATGAACTCAGACCATTTGCTTGTTTGACAGAAGACAGCATACGAGCGTATATTTTCATCCTTAAACCTATTGAAAAAGGGCTGGATTCCAATGAAAGTTGCTGATGCTCAGCAGTTCAATGCCTTAAATAATCAGGTTATTGTCATCCCCCAGGTGCATCTACACAGCAGGGCAAAACTTGAATTAAACTATGCAACTTGAGCTATGTCAATTGCATAGCTGAAATCAAAATACCTTAATTTGGCTTGGGGTGCTGTCTACACAGCAGGAAGTCGAAGGAAGAACACTCTTCCTTCGAATTTCCTTACTCCTTGTGAAATGAGGGTTACAGGAGTCGGAGTAAGAAGTCCTCCAGCTCGACATTATTTTGAAATAGACACGCTCTTCGTTATTTTGGAATAATGTCAGTTATTCTGAAATAACACTGCTATGCAGACATAACCTCAGTGTTGTCTCATGATAGTCACTTTCATGGTCCTTTCTTCTCCTGCTTAGTCCCATTTCAGTATTCTGCCTACAGTGAGTGTCAGATACATATTTTTCTTTTCGCTAACTCAGCTTTCTGATTTTAAATCTCAGCATAGTCTACGGTGCATTAGTGTAACATTTTTTATTCATTTTAATTGTGCATTTCTCTGATTTTGGTAATTTAGAGCCACATTGACCCTTACATTGGAATAATTCATATTAAAAAAAGAGGAAACTCCCTGGACCTGATTCTATGCTCACCTATACTAGTGTAAAACTGGCATGACTCCTCTGACCATGCTGATACCTACCTGCACCTGGTGACAGCCTGAAATAGTAACTCAGAGATGGGGCAGGGCCGGTCCTAACCAATTGGCAGCCCCGGGCGACTGCCAAGCTCACCAGTAGGGTTGCCAGATTGTTTCAAAAAAACATCCTGGACAAATATTTTGTCAAGAAAAAAAACTTGCCCTGGTCGGGAAGTAACTAGGGAAACCTGGGGGGAAGATTTGGGAGGTGAGGCCAAAATGCGGTACCGGTCCGCTCCTAAGACCGGATCTGGACAGAGGGACTTCACCTAATCATCCCAATTAGATGTTACCTCTGAAGCCTAATACCAACAGCACAAATGTCAACCTTTTAAAGTATTTCATGGATGATAACAGCATAGGATCTCCTGTGCAAGGACGTCACTCACTTGGCTCCAAGTCAAGGCACTGTCATCTGTGTAGCAGTCCTAGGTTTTACCAAGAGTCATGGGACTATTGGAACCTTGGGAAGGGGGTTTCCAGCAAGATGTTGGGTACCAAGTTAAAGAATCTGTGTGGTGCCTCCAGCTAGCAAAGCAGTCGGTACACCCCGAGTGTGCCCTTGAGTTCCACCCCCAAAACTTAATTTGCAGGGAAACCCCACACCCACTTACATTAATGGGAGCAACCTGATTTGTGAATAAGATGCACAAATGGACAAGGGAAAGCTACAGGAGGTGGGCAGTCCACCCTGGAGGGCTTTGTATAAGGGGTAAAAAATTGAAAATAGGTTATTTTAATTTAAAAAAAAAAGGCTGAATGCCTTTCCTGCACCAGGTTATTGTAGCAAACATTCGGATCTCCACAAGGCCCACCTACCTCCCACAATCACTCCGCTGAATGGGTCTCCCTTATGCAGACACACATTACAGGTTGGCTAAGCATCCTGACTATTCAATGGCAAGAAAACTATCAGTCAGAAATGTTCAGAATTGGCCTGGGTCTCTAGGCTACTGTCCTGTGGATTAGCTGTGTTTCCCCAGAAAGACCACCTAGGTTTGAGCACCTGAGTTCTTACCTTCAGGAGTCTGGATTATAGTGACCCAAAATGAAAAGTATAGTTTAATCTTAATAGTAAGGTCAAAAATGGCATAAGAGAAGCAACAAAATGTCTACCAGCAGGGCTATCTTTCTGCAGACCCCTAATGTCTGGGGGTCTAGGTCTCATTCTGTTCCTCTTAACTCTCCTTTTCTTGAGTGTCTTTTAAAATCCAGCTGAGCAGCCTTTGGGCAGTAGAATAAAAAGAGCCTGTTAAACTGAGAACAACGTGGTGCGCTCAGAAGGATATTGGTGATGGAATTTTAGTGTGAAGGCGCATGCGTTGTACCTCAAGTATTGGGAGCTGTTTGACTAGCTGAAGCCACTGTTCTCTTTCCTGCCTACACACAGCCAGCTTCTTCTTGAATGAACCCCACATTTTCACATGGCAAACCCTCTTACAACAAGCAGCCAGCCATATAGAATACAGAGTATTCATAAATTACCACAGCCCTCTCCAAAGCTGTCACAGAAACATCCCTACTATTTGTTCAGAGATCTCAGGTGACCTATTCCAGGCTCCTCTCAGGCTGCTTTCTGAAGAGGAGGGGGTCTTGTTTTTATGGCAGTTGGAGCCAAAACCAGTTTTCCAATAAGGCTTTGGACACAATTTGTGCCCTGGATTCACTGTTGCAAGTTTATATGGCAACCCTTTCCCACATCTCTGCAAGGAAACACTAGCAGGGTGCACAGGCTAACCCCATCTATTCCCAGTGGCATCTCATTTTGATGCCATAAGTGAGCGGGCTTTGGGATTTAGGTGCAACTTAGGCAAGGAGATGTTTTATTTTGTAAAACAGGTTGAAATCTGTTAGTATTGTAATTATCTTAATACATTTAGCGGTATTCTCTGTCTCAGCCTGATGGCTGAATGTGTCCATTTGTACTGGCGCCCTCTATGCTTATTAAGGCACAAAAGAAGGCAAAAGAGGGATTCAAATGATTATTTGTGGATTTTTTTAAAGGTGGGAGATCAAAACAGAACCAACTAATTTTACTAATAAAGGGGTGAGAATAGTTTGTGGGTGGGAAGGAGAATGGGGGTGTTTTATTTTTGGTACACGTGAATTTGTTTTTGGTTTTTGCCAAGGGAGGTGTAACTCTTACATAGATTTGATTTGGGGGGGGGGGCTATTACATTAATACCCAGAAATGACCAAGAACAAAGTAGCACCATCAGATTTTTCAGTGATTCTTCCTTCAGGCTGCTAATAGAATAAAGGTCCAATGATTTCTGCCCAAAGTTAGCTTTGCCTTCCTGGAGGAGAAAAATATTTCATTCTAGGTGCAGCTTCTGCCCCCTCGTGAAGAAAACCTGATTCAGACTTTTCAGAAAATCTGTGTAAGAGCTAGGTTGCATCAGTAGTTCTCAGGTAAGCTAATAAAAGAAAGGAACCTATTCAACACTTCAGGAAAAAGCTTGAAGATGCCTGGCCAGATTCATGAATCCATCCAGGTTAAGACTGACTCAAGAACCAGTAGGACAACGGTAGGCAGTTCTAACTCATCTTTATGTTCCATCCTCCTTCCCCTCATTCTGAAGCCAGACATAGAGGCTATGTCTACACTCGCGGCTTCTTGCGCAAGTAATATGCAAATGAGGCTAAGCGTGCTGAGCCTCATTTGCATACCTAATGAGCCACCATTTTTTTCAGAAGAGGCTCTTGCGCAAGAAGGAGCATCTACACTGCCCCTTCTTGTGCAAGAAAAACCCTCTTGCGCAATGCCATTACACCTATTACTTTTCAGGAAGAATGGCGTTGCACAAGAGGGCTTTTCTTGCGCAAGAAGGGGTAGTGTAGACGCTCCTCCTTGCGCAAGAGCCTCTTCTGAAAAAAATGGTGGCTCATTAGATATGCAAATGAGGCTCGGCGATATTCCACGCTTAGCCTCATTTGCATATTACTTGCGCAAGAAGCCGCAAGTGTAGACATAGCCAGACTGTTTCAGCCCTTGGTATAACTTAGAGCAGCCTCAGGACTGCCCTGAATTACTCTGACGGTAATGCTTCCCTAGCACTGTTCTAATTGGCCCAGGATTGCTGGAGTGCAATTTCCTCCCCCTCCCTTATGCCTGCAGAATACCCTAGAATTGTGGGGCAGGGAGCAGGTGGTTATGTTCGCTCAGGAATTTCCCTCCTGCCTTTCTAGCTTTTGTGTTCTCTGAGCAAAGCAACACAACCAGAAACTGGAATGAGGTCTTGCCTGATGTCTAGATTTGAAGCAGGATGGTCACTACTGGTCTGTCTATACAGCAGGGCTAAAGTTGGAATAAACTATGCAATTTAAGCTACGTCAATTGCATAGCTTAAGATAAAATAGCTTATTTTGGCTTTTGGCGCTGTCTGTACAGCAGGAAGTTGAAGAAAGAACACTCTTCCTTTAACTTCCCTAATTCCTCATGAAATGAGGGGTACCATGAGTCGGACATTATTTTGAAACAAAGGCGTATAGTGTAGATGTACTCTTTTGTTTCAGTATTTTGCAATAACGTCAGTTATTACAAAATAATGCTGCTGTGTAGACATATCCTATGAGATCTTTGGAAGATTTTTTTTTAATTTGTTAAAAGAAAATAAAAAAATGAAGATTTTCATTTTTGTAGAAAATCTCTACCACTTGTCTCAGGTTTACAAGAAAATAAAACTCAAACTTCTATTTTTGTTTGTTTTGTTTTTGACAACCAAAAACTGGAGAAAAAAATTAAACATTTTCAACATTTGCAATTAATACAAGTCATTCTTTCACCAAAAATGTTCAGACAATTCATAGTTACAATACAATGCCATATCAAACAAAATCCATGATGTGTTTATTCCTCATATTCACTGATCATGAAATGAGCAATCACTGACTTAAAAAATAAAAACGAAAAAGGACACTTCATTCTGAAGCATTGCCAACGCCTGTTGTCTACCCTGATTTATGTAGTTA